TAAAAGCACCAACTGAAAAAACTTTCAGGGGTTGAGGTGTCAGAGAGGCTCCCAGCCTCATAGGAGAGTTCACTGGAGGCACCCCCAGGGCCCCAGAACATACACAAGCCCACCCACCTGGGAACTGGCACCAGAAGGGCTCGATTTACTTGTGGGAAATGGCAGAGGGGACTGAAATCCGAGAGAGAGCAGAACAAATGCCATAATTCCCTCTCTGACCCTGCCCCCACATATAGGGTCACAACCCAGCAACTGGGTTACCCCACACTGGTGAACACCTAAGGCTCTGCCCCTCATACATAACAGGTGCAACCTGACCAAAAATGGGTCAAACAGAAGAACAGCTCAAAGTCCCAGAGCCAGTACTTCTATGTGACCAAGAGATAGCCAACCTATCAGATGCACAGTTCAAAACACTGGTGATCAAGATGCTCGACCAACTGGTTGATTTTGGTCACAAATTAAATGAAAAAATGAAGGCTACACTAAGTGAAATGAAGGAAAATGCACAGGAAACCAATAGTGATGGAACAAAAACTGGGACTCAAATCAATGCAGTGGACCAGAAGGAAGAAAGAAACAGCCAAACAGAAAAGAATGAAGAAACAAGAATTAAAAAAAAAAAAAATGAGAGGCTTAGGAACCTCCAAGACATCTTTAAACATTCCAACATCTGAATTATAGGGGTACCAGAAGGGAAAGAGGAAGAGCAACAAGTGGAAAAGTTATCTGAGCAAATAATAAAGGAGAACTTCCCCAAGCTGGAAAAGGAAATAGACTTCCAGGAAGTCAAGGAAGCTCAGAGAGTCCCAAAGAAGGTGGACCCAAGGAGGAACACACCAAAGCACATCATAACTACATTACCCAAGATTAAAATGAGAGAGAGAATTCTAGAAGCAGCAAGAGATAAGTGGACAGTCACCTACAAAAGAGTTCCCATCAGACTGTCAGCTGATTTCTCAGAAGAGACCTTACAGGCAAGAAGGGGATGGAAAGAAGTATTCCAGGTCATGAAATCCAAACACCTATAACCAAGATAGCTCTATACGGTGAAGCTTTCATTAGAATGGAAGGACAGATAAAGTGCTTCTCAGATAAGGTCAAGTTCAAGGAATTCATCATCACCAAGCCCTTATTATATGAAATGTTAAAGGGACTTATCTAAGAAAAAGGAGTTAAAAAAGATGAACAGTGAAAGGACAGCAAACTCACAGTTATTAACAACCACATCTAAAACAAAAGCAAACTAAGAGGACAGCTAGATCAGGAGAGGAGCCACAGAAATGGAGCTCACATGGAGGGTTAGCAACAGGGGAGTGGAAAGAGGAGAAGCGGGGAGAAGGTACAGAGAATAAGTAGCATAGATGGTGGGGAGAAAATAGACAGGGGGAGAGGGCAAGAGTGGTGTGGGACATGTAGAAGCTAAAGAACTTATGATACATGGACATGAACTAAAGGGGAGGAATGTGGGGGGAGGGGTGTGTAAGGTGGAGGGGAATGAAGGGGAAATGGGACAACTAATGGCATAATCAATAAAATATATTAATACGTGGGTTTGAAAGAATTGGATATCCATATGCAAAGAAACAAACATCGGTCTGTATCCTTTTCTAAAGATTTATTTATTTTTAGAGAGAAGGGAAGTGAAGGAGAAAGAGAGGGAGAAAAACATTAATGTTTGGTTTCCTCTCACACCCCCCGCCCTGGGACCTGGCCCACAACACAGGCATGTGCCCTGACTAGGAATCAAACAGGTGACCCTTTGGTTCGCAGTCCGGTGTCAATCCACTGAGCTGCACCAGCCAGGGTTCAACCTGTATCTTATACAAAAATTAACTCAAAATGGATCATATAGCTAAATGTACATTTTAAACCTATTAAAATAATAGATGAAAGTGGGAAATTTTTCATGACCTAGAATTAGGCCAAGATTTCTTAAACATGATACAAAAAATATAACCCATTAACATTTTTTTTCAAGACTTTATTTTTAGAGAGAAGGGAAGGTAAGGAGAAAGAGGGAGAGAACCATCAATGTGCAAGAGGCATTGATCAGTTGGCTCTCACATGGCCCCTAGTGGGGATTTAGCCTGCAACCCAGGCATGTGCCCTGGGAATCCAACCAGAGACCTTTGAGTCTGCAGGCCAGCACTCAGTCCACTGAGCCACACCAGCCAGGGTATAATCCATTAAATTTTTAAAACAAATTTGACTATCAAAATTTAAATATTTTGCTCTGCAAAAGACTGTCAATAGAATGGAACAATAAGTTATGTATTGGAAAAAATACTTCTGAAAAACTTATCCAACAAAGGATTTGTGTTGAGATTATATAAAGACTTTCAAAACTCAACAATAAGAAAACAGCCCAATTTAAAAATGGACAAAATATTTAAACAAAACCTTCAAAAAAGATCTATGGATGGCGTGTAAGTTCATAAAAAGATATTCAACATTATTAGCTGTTGGGGAAATCCAAGTCAACCACAATAATACCACTACACACCTAATGGCAGTTGCTGAAGTTGAAAACCAAAGCTGACAGTGCCAAGAGCTGGCGAGAATGTGGAGTAAGTAGAACATTTATATGTTGCTTGTGGGAATGCCAAATGGTATAGCCACTCAAGACAAGTTTGGCAGTTTCTTAAAAAGTTAAACATGTATTTACCGTATAACCCAGGAATCCACTCCTAATTTACCCTAAAGAAATTAACATTAGCACAAAAACTTGGACAAGAATGTTTATAGCAGCCTTAAAATGCCCAAAGCTGGGAACAACTCAAACGTCCTTGAGTAGGTTAATGGATAAACAGATTAATACATCCATCCAGTGTAATGCTCAGCAATAAAAAGGAATAACTATTGACAGATACAGCAACATGGGTGCATTTCCAAGGCAGAATGCAATGTGAAAGAAACACTCTCAAAATATAATGTATGATTACATTTCTGTTACATTATGGAAAAGGAAAAAAATTATAGGGACAGAATTGGTCAGTGGTTGGCAGGGGCAAGGAGAGGGTATGAGCATCAAGAAGCCAAACAAGGTAATTTGGAGGGACTGTTCAGTACCTGGATTGTGGTGGTGGTCCCACAAATCTGCAATGTGTTAAAAACTCACAGAACCATTGGTAGGCTGTTGTCATTTTTTAGTTGCCAATCTATGACAAAAGAAGTCAGTGCTCTTGACTAAATAGTCAAGTATCGCATGTTTTAAAAATTCTTGCGGCACACTGGTTGAAAATTGCTGGCATAAGCGATGGTGCCCATGAGTGAAAGAGGAAAGCTAAAAGGAGAAGCTCATTTAGAGATGCTGTTTCACACCATTGAGTTTGAGCTTATGTCAAGATGTGAATGGAGACGGCTTACAGGCAACTGGAGATGGTGGAGTAGCTAGCTCTTCTGGAGTAAAAAATAGAAATCTGACCAGCCTGGAAATGGTCATTAAAGCTGTAAGTCATGACTGGCAATATCAGATTGTTACCTGGGCTTTAGAGATCCATTTAGTTTGCTAGTCTGTTCTTTGGCTACTTTTCAAATGTCAGATGAAAGGGAACATGGAAACACAAAGGCAGAGCTGCTATGGTTAAAAAAGGCTGGGAGTCGGGTGGTGGCAGGGAAGGCTGCACAAACTGTCTTCCAGCCTCTCCTCTTGCTTCTAGTAGAATCCTTTTATGATACAGGTGATGAAAAGGTCCCTAGAGGAAGGTGATTTGCCCTAGGTATTAACCTCAAATTAGTGGCAGAGGCAGAACTGGAACCCAGCAACCAGCTTTTTCATTCTATTCACAGAGTTCTTAAGAAAAGCTCAAAAACATGGTTTTCATTTTTATTATCGTTCTGTTCTCTAGAAATGACCTTATTCAAATCAGCAGCTCCCCTGCATGTGATGTAGGGAACGTGACATCCACAGGCTCTTCTTGGTCTTGATGGCCCTCTCACGAACGATCTTCCTGCTACAGAGCCTGGTCCAGATAGTCTGTTAAAGCTTCAAAACCCCCACAATTGATACGTATCCCCCCAATTTTTATTGTTTTAAAATTTAAAACTTTTATAAGCTCTTAAATAGTACAATGAACAGCTATATACCCTCCTAGATTTAATAATGAACATTTTGCCATATTTGAATATCTCTACATAAGCACATATATTCTTTTTGCTGATCATCGTCAAGTCAGACATCTGACACTTCACCCCGAAATATTTTGTGTGTCTCCTCAGAGGAAAGACCTTGGCTGGCATATGTATAATACCATTATACGCAAATTCATTAAAACATCAAATATCCAGCCTATATTTAAATGTCCCTAATTGTCTTAAAATGTTTTTACAGTCTCATTTTAAAAACTAGGGTGCATTTCAATATAATCTAAACTATTACAGAGCATTGAAAAGAATAGCAGGTTTTCTAGAATTTTTTATCTCCAAATTTGACAAAAGCACAAACAAAACACGAAAACCAAGAAGCAATCCTGACTAGTAGGTATAAATGTAAAAATTGTAAAACTATGTCACCAAAGATTTCAGTACACTGGAGGACTGAATTGTTGAGTATATAGAGTTTGAACCCTCAATTTCTCTTTTCCCCTCTCTCATTACATAGCAGCCTCATTAGGCAGACCCCACTGACGTCTTGAGTGCCTACACCAACCTGGAAAATTCCATCCCAGTCACAGCGACTTGTTTAAATAGTCCAAGGCAGTCATGACTTGGTATTACCTCTAGTCACAGTGCGAATCCAACCAACGACCCAGACCTTTCGCCGGGAATTGGAGATGTTGGTTGTTAAACATTTACCAGACTCCACCCTGATTCATGTCGCCCTTTCTTTGTCCGTTTGTTTTTCGAGGCATTCTTGTTTCTGGACTGCACGGTCTCTAGTTGGCCCAGTAAAGCACGGACAGCGATCAATTGCGGTGCGTCGGTGTAAAATAAGAAACCTATCCCACTGCGGCGGGCGGGGCCGGGGGCGGGGCCTAGGACGCCGCGCCCCTCCCCTTCCGAGGCAGATTTACCCGCCTCTCCCCAGCGACTGAGGGCGGCGCAAGTTCCGGTGGTCTGGAGACCTCAGCCCTAGCGGTTCCGCACATGGTGCTTCCAGGGAGAGCCATGGCCAGTGAGTAGCGTTGCGGAGCTAGGGCCGGAGGGGAGGCTTCGGGTGCGGAGCCGGCGTGGGGGGTGAGCCGCACAGTCCCAGGCCTGCCCAGACCTGGTGTCCCCGGACCTCCGGGCTTGGGAGCGCGGGCCGGAGCGCTCGCGGGGATTCCAGCTTTTCTGGGGCCCCGGCCGGGCCGCGGAAGCAGAGGGGCCGTGCCTTGCTGCCAGCTGGACTCCTGCGTCGCAGTGCTTGTAGGTGGGTTGCAGAGCCACCTTCCACAAATTCACCTGCGCAGGAGCGGGCAGGTGTTCATGTAAAATGCAAGTTCCACCCCTCCAAAGACTCCACTTTCAGTAAAGGCTTCTGTAATTATGGTGATTATGATACTTCTTCAAGTCTGAGAACCTCTGCCCCGCACGGTTCTTGGATGCTTAGGTTTGCACTAGAAGCGGAACTGTCAAGTGGGGTTGCTTTCACACTCTTCACCTAAGATTGACTTTTGAACTTGGGTTTATTTGTGGCTTGAGTCCTATCACGTGAAACCGAAGAACTTGTTTTTCTTAATTTGGGCTCTGTGTTGCAAGAGGACTGGGTCATTCGCTCCTTATTGCACCCCCCCCCCACTCCACACACGGAGAATACCCTCCTCTCCTGAGCAAAAAACTGATAGTAGTATCTGCATCTGGACCTTGAGCTTGGAGATTGAGTATTAACATGTTGGTTACACGTCCCCATCCTGGATCAGCCCCAGGGGTGAGTTTCCCCCAGGCCTGTGCCAGACTCTTTCACTTGAGGCAGTGGAGCCTTCTGGATTTAGTCTGGAGACCTGGAGTATTAATCTGGGCTCAGTATCTTTCCACATCAACAAGTCATTTAATGTCTCTAGACCTTAGTTCTCTGACCTGTAAAATGGACATAAACTGCCTCTGCCTGGGATTCTTGTGAGGCTCCCATGACATAAGATTTGTGGAAATGCACTTTGGTTTTTTTCATTTCATCCTAGAGAGTGGTGCGAGTTGGTGGCTGAATGATTGTTCAGGTTGGATATGGAAGTCCTTTTACACACCTTCCTCTGGATGTGACTGGTATCTTCTTTGAAGAGGCCGGGCATGACAGAGGCTGATGAACTTGAGAGCTGTGGTTCTTAATGCTGTGGATCTTTCTTGAGGAGTGTTTTCAAGTTACTTGACCCCCACTCCCCCCAAAAACCGAAACTAACAAACTAGTTGCCTATCCTGCTTTACAGTTTACGATTTGGGATTGTTGCTTTGCCACCACTGTCTTTGTGCAGCTTTCCCTGTGCAAGCCTCTTGTTGCCTCATTTACAAAGTAGTGTTAATGAAACCTCACAGATGCTTATATGTGTAAAGACCCTGGCATATTTCTTATGTTGTTCCCATGTTGGTCCTTGCACTTAGTATATTTTATTCTCTTCTTCCCCCCTGGGTAAGTCCTTCACTGTCATACTGTGATGACTATTAAGGCAGCCACGGACCTACAAAAATCATTGTATTTTCATTTTACAGCTGAGGAGATGGGGTGACTAGTACTCCCCAATGATGACATTTTCCTGCTGCAATCCCTCTTCAGAGTGATTTGCAGAATGTCCAGCAATCCCAGGCCTAATTCAAGGCAGCTGCCCTTCTGGGTGGGCTGGGAAAGAGGGGAAGCCAGCAGTAATAGGCATGTGGATGTCCTCTTTCTGCTTCTCTGAAGCAGAGACAAAGCCCAGCTTCTGAGTTACAGTGGAGACCTTAAGTGGATCTGTGTGATGTTCTGGTAATAATTCCCAAATCCCTGTTCATCCCAAAGTAATCCCAGCTTTTGTTCCCTGTTTTAGTTTCCTTTGTTTTCATGAAGATTCTGAGACTGTTTAACAGCATTCAGGATTAAATTTAGCTCTTCTCAGTCTATTTAGAATAAACCAAGGAACGGGACATCTGCATTTTCCTTTTAGGGTTAACCCTGAGCCAAACAGGCCTTCATCAAAAGCCAGGTCTGTCAGCGTTGTCTCTTCTAGAAACATGTGCACAGTTACAGGAGACACCCAGGGTGGGAGCCCTGTAACAGTGGGGTTTTCAGACTGTGGAGCCGAGGCAGGGTAGGGAAGGCAGGACATTACTGCTAATTCCTGAACTTCACAGTTTTGTAGGTTACAACAGGCTTTGGATCTAGTGCAGTCTCCCCTCAAACCATGAGCAAAAACTGTATCAGTCAGTGTCCTCATGGGACACAGAGACCACACCAGTCACTTGAACAGGGAAAGTTTTGTATGAAGATTTATTAACCAATGTGGCTCAGTTGGTTGGAGTATCTTCCTCTAGAGACACTCTGGAGACACTTCCTCTGGAGTCTGCATACCAGACTTCTGTATACCAGAAGGCCGCAGGTTCAATTCCTGGTCAGGGCACTTGCTTAGGTTGGCGGTTCAGTCCCCAGTCAGAGTGCATATGGAAGGGAACCCATAGATGTGTCTGTTCTTCTCTTTCTCTCCCTCTCTTCTCCTCTCTCAAGAAAATAAATAAATATATGAAAGAATGATTAACCAGTAAAAAGCGATTACTATAAAGGCCAAAGTGAACTCTAAGGAATATAGGAAAAGCAAATGCAGGGTGTAGCTCCTACCTCGATATCGAGGGAGGAATAACCTCACCTCCTTGCCCCAAGGCTGACAACAGATCTTGTTGGCAGAGCTGGCTGCATAATTTATGGGGTACAGTCCCCAATAAAAACGGGGGGCCCTTGTTTAGGTGGGAGGAAGAGGTGCTGCTAAGGTTTCCTTCCTCAGCATCTCAGTGTCTCGTGTTGTTTTTCCCTTGTACTCAGCCCTGTGTCCTTTGGCACAGTGATACGCATTGGGTGAGTGTGGACCCTCACAGGTGCTCAGCCGCTGCCACACCCCCCTTTCCTCTGGTAACTAGACCTAGTCACTGTGTCCCAGTGGGTAATGATGAACTTGAGACAGGCATGTACCCTGGACCCACTGCCCCAGTCACAGTGGGATTTCACCTTCCGCGCTGGCATGCACTCAGTTTCCTGGATCAGGGTAGGCCTGAGGCCCAAGATCAAATAGTAAGGAATAATTCTGTGTCCGTACCTAGTTGTCAGGAATAGTTCTGTATTGGAAGCTAGTCGTTTTCCTTCTAGCCCTTTTCTCACTTGTGTAAAAAGCTGGGCCCGCCTACTTCACTTTGGGTTGTTGTGCTGGGCAGGGGGCTTTGCCCTTGGCTGTTGCTTTATCTCAGAGTCTCAACATCACCATTTTTGACATTTTGGACCAGATAATTTGTTGTGAAGGAGTGCCCTGCACATTTCGGCATGTTTAGCAGGGTCTCTGACCTCTTCCCAACAGGTGCCAGTAGCACTCACCCCTTGTGACAATCAAAAATGTCTCCGGGCGCTGCTGCCTGGGAGGCAAAATTGCCCTTGAACTGCTGTTCTGATTGAGCAGTCCGATTTCCTGACAACTGTTTTCTCTTCGTCCTCAGCTTTCCGCTTGGCCCTCATCCAGCTGCAGGTTTCTTCAGTCAAGGCGGATAATCTCACTCGAGCCTGTGGCCTTGTCCGGAAGGCAGCCACACAAGGAGCAAAGATAGTTTGTTTGCCAGTAAGTATGGAGGCAGCCTGCCCTTTCTGGGAACTGTTGGCTCAGCAGAATATAGTCTCTAGCTCTGGTTGTCCTCCGTATCTGGGGTCCAGCAAGGTCTTTGGGACCTGGGAATTGTCCATGTTTGTCTGGAAGATGGCCCCTTGCAGGGGCCTTTGGGATGGGACATGCCATCGTGGTTACAGGACTTTGATTTGACGATCAACCTACTTTGTTCAGAACTCTAGTAGGTTGAAGGGCTTAGTACACTGTACCTCCTATACCTCCCTTCTTCCCTTATATAGCTCTTCACAGGACCAGGAATTATTGATTTTAGAACTAAGCCTCCAGTATTTTAAAATAATTGTTGAAAACTGAAACTTGTTAGAGACATTTAGAAAGCTTGTGGTATCTTCCTCAAGCCAGTGGGACTCTGCATCTCATTCCTCGGTGATTTCTTTTCAAACAGAGTCCGCTGAAGGTTGCACCACATTTGTTTGTCAACAAGTAGGATGTTACCTCCAGAGAAGGACCCTGCACATGGCAGGGCCTGCATCTACTGGCTTCTTCCCCGGGCAGAGGGTCCGTGGTGGCACTGTTCCGGACAGCCCCTCCCCGCTCTCCATGGGGAGGAGGCAGCCCTCTGCAAACTGGGCTTAGATTGGCTGGAGAATTTTCAGGGCCACCTTGTATTTTAGGCAGTAGGCCATCACATGTGGCTAGTGGGTGGGACTCTAACAAGGGAGCTAGAGATGTGAATGTTAATCCGGCCTTTGTTACTGCTCCAGTCGTGGGGCTCGCTGTGCTTGTACCCTACACTTGGTCTCTTGTTGGTTATGTTGCCAGAGGTCAGTCTACAGACCAGGAGTGAGAGCACTTGAATTCAGCACGTGCCCCTCTGACATGTGTTTTGTACGAGCTGGTGATCCTCAGGCTGGAGTTTTCCTGGCCCAGCGTATGGTATACAGGTGATCTTGATAAATGTGAAACAAAGGATTGGAGTCAAAGTCTAGTCGTTCTTGCTTTTTTATCACAGAGATGTTGAAGACAGATGTACCCTGGGGAATGAGAGATTTTGCAGGAGCTTAGAAACAGTTCATTTTACAGATGAGGAAATGTCTTTTACTTCAGTGGCTTTCACAGGCTCATAATTCTGAACATATGGGTGCATCCTAATGCCCAAAGTCCTGTGAGGAAGCCCAGTTGTAGTGGGGCCTGGGTGCCCTGGGAATGCATAGCTCTCCTGCAGACTGCAGGGAGAGACAGTTCCAAGACAGTTCTGCCAAGGTGACTAGGATGTGATTGAGCACGCGAGTTCCCTGTAGCCCCACGGGAGCCGGCTGCTGAATCCTTCAGTGGCTACAGGGTCTGTAGCCCTGGGGTGTCAGTGTTCTTTGTTTGTTTTATCAGCTGTGTTTACCCCTTTGAGAACTGAGCTGGAAGCAGCAGCTGTGTCTTCTTTACAGCAGAGCTTTAAAATGGGTTGGGTGCTTTGATTCTTTTCCCTTTTTCTCTGTAAACATTATTCTAGGAATGCTTTAATTCTCCATATGGCACAAACTATTTTCCCGAATATGCAGAGAAAATTCCTGGTGAATCCACACAGAAGCTTTCTGAAGTAGCAAAGGAGTGCAGCATATATCTCATTGGAGGTAACTTCCTACTGTCAAGGTATAATGGCCTAAACATGAAAAACGTACGAATATTTTTGTTGTTACATTTAAACAGGTAGAGTACAAATTATCCATTGAAAAGAATGAGGTAGATTTATATGTAATAAAGTGGAGAGTCTTCAGAAACACACTATTAAGTAGAAGAAATGCAAGTTCAAGATGACATGAACAGGTCTTCCCATTCAGATTAATCCCCACATAAAGGGTTATTGGTGTTTGTGTGTAGTTGTGTATGTAACACAGAGTTGGTATTGTGGAAGGACACACACCAAACTGATAATGATGATTTTCCCTGGAGAAGGAGAGGGGAGAGAGGGGCAGGTGGAAATGTGGAAATCTTTTCCTTAAAGAGCTATGAACAAAGTAGCATTATATGGTTTGTTTTTTTTTTAAAGCCAGTCAAATCGAGTAGTGGGGGGGCGTTATATGGTTTTGAAATAAATTTTAAAATGTTCTGTTTGCTCAAATAAAAATCAATACAGTAAAACTATTTAATAAATACAGCAAACAAAATGACTTCTGTACCATGCTATATAAGAATTAGAAATGATTAAGAAGTGGAGCATTGAAGGCCTAGCAATAAGAGACAGAAGCAGGAACTAGAATACGTTCAGTGGCGGGAAGACCTGGGGCTCACATTCCCACCTGGAGGCCTTTCGGGGTGCAGCTGTGTTGCAGGAGGGTCTGGTGGATTTAAGTTGCACAACAGTGAGTTCCCCATGTTGCTTCGATGGTTCACATCACCATAAGTGTTGCTCAAGGTCTAAGCTGAATTCAGAAACAGTCTGGATATTTTTGAATCCTGTCTTCAGCATTTGACTTGATTATATTTCATCTATACTCTGGAGTTTATCTCTGAAAGATTGTATTCAGGAAGGAAAACAACTGATTAAGTGACACTTAGAGGGTAGTAAGCTTTATGGTTTGACCCAAGTGACATTTTATCAAGCCTTTGTCCAGTTCCAAAAGAATGCTTTTTTCAGGATTTTTCTGTGTCTGTGTGTTTCTCCTCTCAATAAAAGGTTCCATTCCTGAAGAAGATTCGGGGAAGTTATATAACACCTGCCCCGTGTTTGGGCCTGATGGCACTTTACTGGTAAAGCACAGAAAGGTAAGCAGGGCCCTGGTCAGTGTGGCTCACTCACTCAGAGTATCATCCCGTAACCTGGAAAGTTGTGGTTTGATTCCAGGTCAAGGCACATGCCTAGGTTCCCAGTTCAGTCTCCGGTGGGGGCGCATATGAGAAGCAGCAGGTCGATGCTGCTCTTCCTCTCTCCAAAATCAATAAGCATGTGCTTGGGTGAAGATGGGGAAAAAAATAGGTTAGTAGGGAATGTGGCAAGTCTCGTTGCTTCGTGAGACTTTACTATGAATTCCCACAGTCCCATCTCGTATTGTACACACATCAGGCATTTTGACTGGATGGCACAAGTGGCTGTTCTCAGCTTTTGGCACTTTGATATAAATTTTAGACTCAGCCTGTCAACTTAAGCAAAGGGAAACCTGCAGGTCTTTTAATTAGGATTGCGTGGATGTGTAGAGATCGCTTCGGGGAGGCTGGCATCTTTGCAGTAGTAGATGCGTGTACATTTAGGATCTTTAAGTCATCTTGGTAAGTTGATCCTTTTACTGTTATGAAGCATCTGGGTTTTTTTTTTAACTTATAACACTCTGTCTTGAAGTTTATTTTATCGTTGATAATACTATAGCCACTCTTATACTTACTTTTTGTATGGTGCATCTTTCTTTAAACTTTTATTTTCACACTATATGTGTCTTTACATTTAAAATTTGTAGACAGCATATAGTTGGTTTTTTTAAATATATTTTATTGATTATGCCATTACAGTTGTCCCATTTACCCCCTTCATTCCCCTCCACCCTGCACCCCCTCCCCCCACATTCCCCCTCTTTAGTTCGTGTCCATGTGTCATAAGTTCTTTAGCTTCTACATTTCCCACACCATTCTTGCCCTCCCCCTGTCTATTTTCTCCCCACTGTCTATGCTACTTATTTTCTGTACCTTCTCCCCCCTTCTCCTCCTCCCACTCCCCTGTTGCTAACCCTCCATGTGATCTCCATTTCTATGGTTCTGCTCCTGATCTAGCTGTCCACTTAGTTTGCTTTTGTTTTAGATGTGGTTGTTACTAACTGTGAGTTTGCTGTCCTTTCACTGTTCATCTTTTTTATCTTCTTTTTCTTAGGTAAGTCCCTTTAACATTTCATATAATAAGGGTTTGGTGATCATGAACTCCTTGAACTTGATCTTATCTGGGAAGCACTTTATCTGCCCTTTCATTCTAAATGAAAGCTTTGCTGGATAGAGCAATCTTGGATGTAGGTCCTTGCCTTTCATGACTTGGGATACTTCTTTCCAGCCCCTTCTTGCCTGTAAGGTCTCTTTTGAAAAATCAGCTGACAGTCTGATGGGAACTCCTTTGTAGGTGACTGTCCCCTTATCTCTTGCTGCTTCTAGGATTCTCTCCTCCATTTTAATCTTAGGTAATATAATTATGATGTGCCTTGGTGTGTTCCTCCTTGGGTCCAACTTCTTTGGGATTCTCTGAGCTTCCTCCACTTCCTTGAAGTCTATTTCCTTTACCAGATTGAGGAAGTTCTCCTTTATTATTTGTTCAAATAAGTTTTTCATTTCTTGCTGTTTTCTTCCCCTTCTGGTACCCCTCTAATTCGGATGTTGGAATGTTTAAAGATGTCCTGGAAGTTCCCTAAGCGTCCCCTCATTTTTTTGAATTTTTGTTTCTTCCTTTTCTGTTTGGTCATTTTTTTCTTCCTTCTGGTCCACTCCATTGATTTGAGTCCCACTTTTCGTTCCATCACTATTGTTTCCCTGTGCATTTTGCTTCATTTCACTTAGTTTAGCCTTCATTTTTTCATCTAATTTGTGACCAAAATCAACCAGTTCTGTGAGCATCCTGATCACCAGTGTTTTGAACTGTGCATCTGATAGGTTGGCTATCACTTGGTTGCTTAGAAGTATTGGCTCTGAGGCTTTGATTTGTTCTCCTGTTTGAGGCATAATGTTTTGGTCTGTTCGTACTTCTTATGTATGAGGGGAGGAGCCTTAGGTGTTCACCAGGGTGGGGCAACCCAGTTGCTGGGTTGTGATGCTGTATGTGGGGGCGGGGCCAGAAAGGGAGCAATGGTGCTTGTTCTGCTCTCTCTTGGATTTCGGTCCCCTCTGCTGCTTCCCACAAGCAAATTGGGCCCTTCTGGTGCTGGTTCCTGATTGGGTGGGCTTGTATATGTTCTAGGACCCTGTAGGTCTCTCCAACAAACTGTCCTGTGAGGCTTGGAGCCTCTCCCGGCACCTTTTCAGTGGGTGCTTTAAGGTTTTATTTCTCGTCACTGGAGCCCTGAGTTGCATGGCCTGTCTCACTGCCCATTTTTGCCTTGTTTGCGCTCGAATGTGTGACTGGGGTCATCCAGCCACCTTGCAAGCTCTGCTTGTTTCCTCACAGCACCCAGGGTCTGCTAGCCCCTAGCCACCTGCGCTTCTGGGTCCAGTGTCACTGCCATTTCTTGCCACAATCCCTCTCAGCTGGCTGCCGACTCCACCCCTGGTTGAATGGTTGTCGGACTTCCATACAGTTCAGTTTTCTGTCTGTTCTGGTTGTGTTTTTGTTTCTAAATCTTTGTTTTCCTTAATTTTGGTTTTGCAAGGAGGTGCAATGTTTCTACCTACTGCTCCATCTTAGCCAGAAGTCTGTAGTTGGGTTTTGCTTTTTTACTCATTCTGAGAGTATCTGCTTTTTAACTGAAATGGTTACTCCATTTATAGTTAATATAATTGTTGATTTTTAAGCATATTAATATATTAAGCATATAGATATTTTACTGTTTTTTCTCTTGTTTCCCTTTTTTGCATTCTTTGGGGTTGAGTATTTTTTAGAATTTCATTTTAATTAGTCTATTGGCTTTTAAATTATGCCTCTGTGCTTATTTCTAAGTTGTTGCTCTAGACATTACAATTTGCATCCTCGTCACAGTCTACTTGAGTTCATGTTATACTACTTCATATGAAATTTCCTGTCTCCTTCCCATTTTTGTACTATAGTTGACACACACATTGCATCTACATATATTGTAAATCCCACAAAACCCTTATTTTTTAAGTAGCATGCATTTTAAAGAAATGAAGGGAAAGTGTTTTATGTTTACCCACATATTCCTCCTTTCCGGTATTTTTCTTTTCTTCCTGAAGATCCTGAGTCTATCTGGTGTTTGCTCCTTCAAACAGAAAGACCTCCCCTGGCTTTTTCTGATAACTGTGCATTTTCTTAGTTGTTTATGAACACATCTTTAGTACACCTTCATTCCCGACAAATGTTTTGGAATAGAGTTCTGAGTGGACAGTTTCTCGCCCCCCAGCAGTTTGAGAGACATTATTTACTTATTTTCTAGCTTTTTTCTTTTTTCCCCCTGATGAAAAGTCAGTGGTAATTTGTATTACTGTTTTCTGTATGTAATTTGTGTTTTTATCTGTCTGCCTCCCAGATCTGTTCTTTGTAAATTCCACTTGTTAATATTTTCCTTCTGATGTGCCTACATGGTTTTCTTTGTATTTGCCTTGCTTTGTGCTTCTTGAATTCGCACGTGTGAGTCTTTTACCACATGTGTGGGAAATTTAGGGGCATTATTTCATTAAAATTTTCTCGCCCATTCTCTTCAGGGTTCCAGTGTTGATACCGTTCCTCCAAACCAAGTCACCGAGGCTTTCGTTCTTTGTTTTTATTTTTTCAACCCTTTTTCTCTCTTCTTCAAATTGGGCAATTTTCATTGATCTACCTCCAAGTTCACTGAGTCTTTCTTTTGTAATCTCCAATCTTCTATAAACCAAATGGGTGAAAGTTTTAAAAATTTCAGATACTGAGTTTTTCAATTCTAAAATTTTCATTTGGTTCTTTTTTATAGCTTTTATTTCTCTACTGTTATTTTTATTTGTTTAACTCATCAAGAGCAAGTTCTTCATTCCCCTGAGCTCCTTTAAGGTCTTCAACTTTGCCGCATCCAGTTGAGCTGGGGTCTGTCTGCTCCACTGATTGCCTTTTCTTTAGAGTTTAGGTCGTATCTTCCTGTTCCTTTGTGTGTATAGTAATTCCGGGCTGTACATTCTTAGATGCTGTGTTCTTGAGACTCTAGCTTCTATTATATTTCTTTGAAAGTATTTATTTTTGTTTTGTTTTTGTAAGTACAATAGTTAACTTGGTTGTACACAAACCCCAAATTCTTTTCTGTAAGGTGGACAGTGACCTCAGCTGCTCTGTTCTGTCCAGACTGTTCAGCTGGGCTGCTTGGAGTCTGCCCCACACATCTTTACTTCAGTGGTTAGCCAGAGATTGGGCAGATTTTGTTCATACAATTTAGGGTTCTTTGGCTTTATCCTTTTCAGGATTTGCCCCCTCACTTTCCTGCTGCTGTGAAGCTGGCTTCTGGTTCTTCAGGCCAGTCTGGTTGTGGGTAGTTTCCCCACTGCTCCTGGCAAGGCCCGGGGCCTGGCTTCCAATTGAAAGCAGCAAACAGATAGGAGACCTGCCTGGTGCTGCTCCCTTCTTCCAAGTGTTGACTTCCCTTCAGGGTTTCCCTAATTTTGGTCATTCTCCAGTGCTTTGCTTTTTATTTTGTCCAGAGTTCATACTTACGAGAAAGGTAATGGGCCTGATAGGAGCCACTCAGCCATTACTGGAAGAGGAGCCAGCACTGAACTATTAACTCCATCATCTGAAGTGCATGTATGTCCACGATGTGCACTTTCAGGCTTTTGAAAATTTCACATTGTTTTTTATGGTTTTTTGATATAGTCATATACCATTTTCTAGGTCTATTCTTCACGGGTGGTTTGTTTATGTCCTCTCATTTTCTGTTCCTTACTAGTATATGGAGAAGTACAACTAATTATAAAAATACTGACCTTCCACATGCATAGTAACTTGGCTAAAGTCATTCATTAATTCTAATAATTTATCCGTAGTTTTCCTTTGGAGTTTCTAGGTACATAATTATATCATCTGAGAATAATGACAGATTTAATTTTTCCTTGCTAATCCTTATACTTCCTGTCTCTTTCTTTTGCCTGGTTGCTGTGGTCAGGGCCTCTGGCAGAGTGTCGGGTAGCAGCTGTCCTTGTTTTACACCTGATCTTGGTAGGTGAAGGCTTTAGTATGTTAACATTAGGTACAAAGTTTTGGTGTTTTTGTAGATACTTTTTATCAGATTAAAGAAATTCCTTTCCTGGAAGAGGTTTTCTTTTTTGTTTTTAAAATAAGAATAGATGTAGAAGTTACCAAATGCTCATTATATATCTCTTATGATGCTCATGTGACTTTTCTCCTTTATTTTGTTGGTGTGATAAATCAGAATTCAATTTGGAAGGATGTTACTCTTTTTATAAATTGCTGCATTTGGCTTGCAAAATTTTACCTGTTTTTATTTCTTTAAAATTTTATAAGATTTTATTTACTTTTTAGAGAGAAGGGGAGGGAGGGAGAAAGAGAGGGAGAGATACATCAGTCGGTTGCCTCTCATGTGCCCCCAACTGGGGAACCTGGCCCGCAACCCAGACATGTGCCCTGACTAGGAATCGAACCTGTGACCTTTTGAGTTGTAGGCTGGTGCTCAATCCACTGAGGCACACCAGCCAGGGCTAAATTTTACCTACTTTTTTTTATCATTTATCCACGCTCCACCTCTCTTGCCAGTGTGTCAGTTTGATTCTGATTCTGAGGAGTCTTCATTTAGCATTTACATTGAGTTAAAAAACAACACATTAGTTGCTTTCCATAAGAGACCTAGACATTGATTTGTACATCACCTAGGAAAGAAGGGTCATGAAACTACAACATCCCGTGTTAGAATTCATTTTGATAAGTGTCAGATTGTGGGTGGGTTGTGGGTGGTTGAGGGTGCTGTCCCAGCAGTTGATTTTAGACCACACCCCACATCTGGCCATGGGAGATGTTTGCAGTTATTGCCGTGAACCCCGCTGCAAAAGAGGTAACCAGAGCCCTTATCTGTGATGCAGCTCCATCTGTTTGACATCGATGTTCCTGGGAAAATTACATTTCAGGAATCCAAAACGCTGAGTCCCGGTGATAGTTTCTCGACCTTTGAGACTCGTACGTACCAGATAAGTCCACCTCTTTTAGCAGTCCCGGTAGAAGAGGATCAGGTATTCCTTCATCTCTTTCTTATGTCCCTCCTTGATTTCTTCGTACAACCCGGCTGAAAGAGCAGAGGGAGAAGGGCAGAGGATGGTCGGAGATGTAGCAAGGGCAGGCCGAATGGAGGACTAAGGGTTGGACGTGATTTTGCCCTTCCATTTGATCACAGCCTCCTATTAGTATCACAGCTTCCAGAGTGTACCTGCCAGGCCTTGCTGAACACTTCTCACTCAGAGCATAAGCATCCAGTTAGAATAAATTTCTCACCTCTGCTCTGCTGACGTAAGTGATATATGAGGTCAAGTTCAAGCAGAAACAAGCTTAGAGATTTCTCCATCCGTGGGCTCTGTGTCACCGTATCCCCCCGTGATTCGTGCTCATGACATCGGAAGGTTTCACCCTGCCTCCCCGTGCCTCGGGTTAGCTTTTCATCTGTGCGTTTCCGTTTGTGAGCAGCTTACTGCAGAGTGGGCCTGGGCATCTGCTACGACATGCGCTTCGCAGAGCTGGCACAGATCTACGCGACGAGAGGTGAGGCAGCTCTGTGTTTGTGCTGTGTGGGTGCTTGGAGGGGTGAGTCTGGGCGGCTCTTCGTGGGCGGAGGGAGCCCTTCTGGAAACACTGGAGGAGGGGTCTTCATTTGTCCACCCCCCACCCTTTCGCCTTCTCAGACTTCTGCTGCATCTGGACAGTATGGTTTTTCAGAGGCTGTGCTTTAACAGCACTGGGCAGCTAAGGCAGGAGACAGACTCTTAAACATCTGCTCCTCCCTCAGGCCATTCCTGGTACTGTATTTAGAAAGAGTCACTTGGTAGAAACGAAGACATGGTTTCGCCTGGTAGATTTCACTGTTCAGTGGTCCTAGATGTTGGGTACAGTAGAAATGTAGTGACAGACATTTTGGTCCAGAGAAAAGGTGTCCTACCATCCAGAAAGAGCACCAAACCAAGTCAGAAGGTCTAGGTTCTGGTTCCAACTCCTCTCCTAATTGGCATGGTACTTTGGGTGAATCATTTACTCTCTAGAGCAGTGTGGATCTCACTGTTCTCACAGGGATGGGGTGAAGATTACGGAGCTAAAGGTCCCTGCACGGTAGTCAACAAACAATTAGCACCCCTACTAGACTGGCAGAGCTGCTTTGCTTCTGAATCAGCTGCCACTTCATACAGTGAAGTGGATGCAGAAGGTGCGACTGCTCAGCGAGAGGTGGAGGCGCGTGGGCTCTGAGTCTGTAGAGTCCTGGCAGTGGGCACTGAAGCACCTGCCCTGCCCTTCATGTCAGTTGAAAACCATTACAGACCATGGTCCTTGGCCCTGCAGAGCTGACCATGTGGTGCTGAGAGGAATTTCAGTGACAGTGCGCCACCTGTTTTTTTTAAAGCAAAGTCCCATGTTGTGGTTTCGGTTATTAATACCACTTCTCTGTGTGTTTGTGTGTGTTATGTGAGTGTCTCTAAAGGAATTCAAAGCTGTAACTTAATGCTGCTGATGCTGTCTGATTTGGCCAACATCTTTCCATGCTTGAGGGAGTTGGAGTTTGGTCCCACTGGGTGGAGAGCAAAGGGAGGGTCTGGTGTGGCTGGGTGTTCTTTGTGTTGACGCTTCAGCCTTTCTCTCCCCAAGGCTGCCAGCTGTTGGTATATCCTGGAGCTTTTAATCTGACCACTGGACCAGCTCACTGGGAGTTGCTTCAGCGAGGCCGGTAAGAAAGTATGTCAGACAGACACACCTTCGGGCATCTCAGCGTTGCTTTGTGGGAAGGTTTCAGTTTGGCGGCAGGGCCAGCCTCCCTGATACGGAATGGTGTCTGTGACTCAGGATGCCGCAGCAGCATCCAGACGCATTTCGAAAAGATGAATGTTTCCGTCTCTCAGCCCAAAGGGAAGGCTTCTGCTAAGAATCTTCCCTTCAGAAGCCACAGCTTCAACCTCATAGATTTTGGGGACCGTGATCTTTGCATTTTCAAGAACAGTTAGCGCATCAATCGGGCAGTGGTTTCATTTACTGTGATTAGATCTAGGCTGGTGTCTCGGGCAGTTGCCAGTAACTTTTATAGAGACTCAGAGACCTGTGGAGTGTGTGGGTCCAGAGCCCCAGAAGCCACGGAAAACCAGCGGGTCTTAGCCTGGTAGCCCCGGGGAGATTAGGGGTCTTCACACAGCTGACCCTGTGCTGCTCAGATTGGGGTGCTCATCCCAACCCAACTTCCACAGCAGCTGCCAAGAACCTCATTACAAGCCCTTGTGCTTCTAACGTGTACATGCTGGGCACCACACTGGCACGTCCGGCGTGTCACAGCTGCTGTTTCCGTAGTCCCCTGAGGCTGAGGGGGGTGAGGGCAGACAGCGGAGATGGGGGCCCCGAGGAAGGGGGAGCTGTGTGACCCTGGGTGTGGGGGTCATACAAACCCACTCAAAGGGCTCTGCAGACTGCAGTGCTGGTCAGAGATGCTGGTGGTTTTGATTAAATGCCTTTTGAACTGAGGTGTAATATACTTAACAGGAAAATGTTCAGATTTTAAGTATACAGATCTGTGAATGTTACGTATTTACCACGTATGACCAAGGTCACTGCACAGAACATTCTGGTCCCTGGGATGCTCCCCTTGGTCCTCCCAGTCAGTACTCGCTGTTGTCTCTCCCGGACGGAGATGATGGGAACTTCCACTGGAGGGGGGTGTAGAGGCAGAGGGGGGGGTGTCCGATCCCATGGGTGTTCATCAGCGCAGTCTTGTCGAAGCAGGACAAGCTTGGGAGAGACTGGAACGACTAGGTATGGACCGACTGATTGAGCCCAGAGTGCTCCCTGGTGAGGTGGCAGCATGTACCCAGGCCCCCACCTGACTTCTGATCTAACCTGACGTGAGGGGGCTGCCCCATTGGCATGGAAGTGCCCTGCAGCCCTTTCAGGTGCATTGCTTCCCCTGGTCCCCCCACCCCCTGGCCGACCCCTTGTCTCTGGCCCCCTTGATTGGCATTAACCAGAGAAGCTCTTGTATTGGTTGGCTCAGGCCGGGGTCTCTCATCTGTTGCAGTATTAACATTTTAAACTGGACAGTTCTTTGTCATGGGGGTGTCCTGTGCATGGGATGTTTAGCAGTGTCCATGGCCTCCACCCACGAGATGCCAGTAGCATCCCACTAGTTGTGACAATCAGAAAGGTCTCCAGACACTGGCAGATGTCCCCTGCTGGCCGAAATTTTCCCCAAGAACTGGTTTCAGTTATGAGACAATTTTTGAAGAGAGGGTTCCACGGCTTTGGGTGTTCCCTTTCATATCTGAGCCAGCCTGTCCTGTCCTAGTTTTTAAAAGGAGGATTGGTACACACAGGATAGGAAAACATCTCAGATCTACAAGGTATGATTTACGTGTTTTCTGTCCACTGACTGCAGGGCTGTTGACAATCAGGTCTATGTAGCCACGGCATCTCCTGCCCGAGATGACAAAGCCTCCTATGTCGCCTGGGGACACAGCACTGTCGTGAATCCTTGGTGAGCTGCCTAAGCAGGGACAGGCTTCCTAGGAGCTCAGGAGACCGGCACGTGGGCAGGCGGGTTGTCTGGTGTGTGGCTGGTCCTGCCCCTCACCCGCCCCCATAGCCCCACATGCCTACCAGGTCTCCGTGTCTCTGTGAGTGAAGCTTATTTTTTGCTTTGGAGAGATTGGATTTCACTAGATATGTGTTTGAAGTCCTGCTTTGGGCTAGAGATTCAGCTCTGGAGATAGTTTTCTAGATGGGCCTTCCCCCAGACCCCACAGGTCGAAACCTTGCCTTCAGAAACTAAAGACCATTAACACAGCGATACTGGGATCACAGGCACGAGGCCAGAGATACCGCAGATCTGGGCTGTGCTCAGGCCCTGCCTCACCATCCCAGGGTTGGGGAGCAGCCTTGGGGGTGGGAAGAAGCAGAGCCAGATCACCCTTGTAGAGGGTCCCTATTGACATGCACTCGCGAGGGGGTAGCGAGGGCACTTCCTGTTGGTTATAGGTGGCTCTGTTCCCGGATGCGTGTGTCATAGAATAATAAAGTAGGAGTTTGCAGTTTAGAAAACATACTCTGTGATTTTCTCACTAGGTCCTAACAGAGCTCTTATTTCCCACTTCATAAGTGGAGATTACAAATGACTTGGCCCAAGGCTACTTACATGGTAGAACAGGAGTTTATACCCCTACCAATCTGAAGAAATCTCAGATTTCTTCTCCTTTGGCCGTTAGACAGGGAAGAAAAACAGAGAGAGGTCTTGAATATCAGCAGGCATCAGCGAATCCACTTACTGTCCCCGGAATCTCTTCCAGGGGGGAGGTCCTGGCCAAAGCTGGCACTGGAGAGACGATCGTGTATGCAGACATAGGTAAGGTCTGCCCAGCACAGGTGAGGCCTCTGGCATCCCCAGTGCTCTGAGGCCAGGTTCCATAGGTGGTGCAGCCCCTGTCACCCGGAGGGGTTCCTTGTTCCCCCAGCCCCTCCCCCCCACACATGCTCCATTTGTCCTTGATTTACCTTTGGTTCTTTGGTTGGGTCCAGGGTGTTATAGTTCAGCTTGGGTTTTTTGGTTTGGTCCCAAATGACTCCAGGGGCCATGCCTGGCCCTCTGCCTGTAGGCAAGGCCTGTATTACTGGGTTACTTGTGGAGGCTCTGGTGGTTTTTATGCTGTTTGGGGGAAATAGTCCCTTTGGTTAGTGAAGAGTTTCATGTTATTAATAGTAAACTTTCCTGTTTTTGCAGACCTGAAGAAAGTGGCTGAAATACGGCAGCAAATCCCCATTTTTAACCAGAAGCGATCAGACCTCTATGCCGTGGAGGCAAAAAAGCCCTAAGATTATGTCTCCAATGTGCCACAAAATAGGAAGCTGTGTTTCTGCAACATCATGAATTTCCTGCTGAATCCTTTATTGGAGATCCTTTTCCTAACTGGGAACTCTGTGTTACGATGAGGAACTTCAGCACACTGGTACTCTCCACACCGTGTTAAATAGTCAAAAAGGGCTAGGCTGGCATTGAAGGGCAGAAGGAGAAGGGGGCGGCTCTAAACCTTATTCCACGCTTACGCTGCTTGTGCGCAGCTGGTAAAAGTATCAGATTTGGGTATTCTGGTGGTTGATTCACCGGATACAAATGTATTTGCATCAGAAACTTCTTATCCCATTGCTGGAATTGGAATCCATATGTAGGAAACTGGCAGTCTCTTTCCAGCAGTACCTTCAGTTATGTGTTTGGTCTGTGAGTAGCTGTGGGAGCCGAGGTGATGGATCCTTGGCGTTTGCTAGAGGAGATGGCGGCCCCTGTAGCAGCCTTCAGGAAGGAGCTAGAGAGTCAACCGCAAACCCTCCTGGCCTTAGGGAAAGATGGTGTCACCAGTGAGCCCGTGGGAGGAGGCAGTGGCAGCATTTGGTCTGCCTCCACAAAAAAGATTTTTCTTGATTGGAGTGTCTGACAGTCTCTCTCTTTGTTTTTTCCTCCCTAGTAATTCTGCCTTCCAAAGGCAAGTTTGTAGCCTAGTGGTTCTCAGAATTCTTTTGCACAATTGAAAATTAAGAATTTCAGTGAGTTGTTATTTATGTGTATTATAGCTACCAGTGAGCTGGTAGATGTTGAACAACCAGCTGTCTAAGAAAAAGCCCTGATTTTGTAGAGCATTTGCCATTTTCTGTGGTGTAAATACTTCCACCATGGCCAGGTTCCATCTATCAATATGACACCTCTACACATAGAGTAGGGAATATATGTGCCCCATCTGACACATGTGTACATCCAGGAAACCCCTTTCATCAAGGTTATGATCATACCCACCACCCCCAAACGTTTCCTTGTGTTCTTTTATAATTCCTGTAGCTATTCCTCTTGTTCCCAGGCAATTACTGATTGGCTTTGTCACTGTAGATTAGTTTGAATTTTATAGAATTATGTGAAAATGGACTCATGTTATATCAATACATACTTTTTGTCTTTCATTATCATTTGGAGATTTCCCCATGTGTATGCATCATTAATTCCTTCCCTTCTTATTGCTGAGTAGTAGTCTGTTGTGTGGATATACTGTCATTTCTCCACCTGTTGGTAAGCATTTTAGTTTCCAGGTTTTGTCTGTTACAAATAAAGCTTCTTGTACCAGTTGTTCGTTTCTCTTGAGTTAGATATCTAGGCGTGAAACGAAATGGTGGGGTTATGCGTGTGTTTCACTACCGAACTGTTTCTGAAAGTGACGGTGCCGCATTACACATCACCCAGCAGTCTGTCAGCGTCCGCGTGTGCTCCACATCCTCCCCGCACTCCGTGCGACCGGTCTGACTCATTTCATCCATTCTAACAGGTATGTGGTGCTACTTTACTGTGGTTCTAATGTATATTTGTCTAATCAGTAGTAATGCTGACTATCTTTTCGTGTACTTCTTTGTTTGTCTATCTACTTTGGTAGTGTCTGTTGATCTCTTTCCCCCATATTTTTATTGGGTTGTTGATTAGTATGAGTTCTTTATATACTCTTGATAAAGGTCCTTTTTCAGGTATTAATGTTTTGCAGATACATTCTCCAAGTCTGAGAGAAAAACGGTCATTTCATTTTTTAAAAAGCATTACTTAAAAAGTAAAAGTTTTTAATTTTCATAAAGGCTGATTAATATTTTTCTTTTGAAGTTTGTCTATTTTAAGTTGTATTTATGTAAATGTATTTATGCATTATGTAAATCATCAAATACAAGGTCACTAAGACTTTATCTTATTTAAGTCTATAATTCATTTTGAATTGTTAATCTTTCTTCTATATGGTGTAAGAGCCCATTTTTTTTGTCTGTGATTGTGAGTTTTATTCTATGCCTATTGAGTATTGTCAGCACCTTCAAAAAAAGTATATTGACCATATGTATCTCGATCTGGTTGTAGACTCTATTTCATTAATATTCTGTATATCTTTATACCAGAAACTAACTGCATTGATTACATATAGCTTCATAATAAGGTTGTTGTTTTTTAAAGATTTTATTTATTTTTAGAGCAGGGAAGGGAGTGAGAAAGAGGGAGAGAAACATCAATGTGTGTTTGCCTCTCACATGCCCCCTACTGGGGACCTACCTGCAACCCAGGCATGTGCCCCAACTGGGAATCAAAACAACCACCTTTTGGTTCACTGGCTGGCACTCAATCCACTGAGCCACACCAGCCAGGGCTATAAGTCTTAAAATCAGGTAATACTAGTTCTTTGACTTGTTTTTTTCAAAATCATTTTGACTATTCTAAATCGTTTATGTTTCTATGTAAATTTCAAATCAGGTTGTAAATTGTTATGGAAAAGTCTCTAGGGATTTTGATTGGGATTACATCGACTCCCGAGGGCAGTTTGGGGGAAATGACATGTTACCAGTACTGAAACCCTGACCCATGAACATGAGATGTCTCCTCAGTTGTTCAGGCCTTCTTTAGTTTCTCTTAGCAGTGCTTGGCAGTTCGACAGTGAAGAATCCAGGGGTGTTTTTGTAAGTGCGTCTCCAAGGACTGCAACTTTTTTATCTCTATGTAGTACTGTTTCATAAACTTCAGTGTCCAACTTTTTCACTGCTAGTATATAAAATATTATTTATGTCTTTGATCTTGTATCCTGAAAGCTTGTTAATAAACTCACTTATTTTAGCAGCTTTTTGGGGGTAGATTCTATATGATTTTTTCAAAATAGATGATTATGCCTGTAAATAAAGTTTATAAAATAAAGAAGCTTATTCCTTTTCAATCTTGTTTCCTTTTATTTTTTCTGGCTATGGCATCAGATAGAACCTTCAGTACAGTGTTGAATAGAAAAGCACTGAGTGGACATATTTTCATTGGTCCTGACCTCATAGAGAAAGCATTTATTCTTTATAGATGCCCTCCTTCACCTTGAGGAATTTCCTTCTATTCCCAGTGTGCTGGAGTTTTTATCAGGAAAGGGTGCTGGAGTTTTTCAGATGCCACTTCTGCCTTTATTGAGATGAGCACTTTTTTCCTTTAATTTGTTTTTATCATGGATTACATTGATTTTTCAGTGGTAAGCCAATCTTGTGTTTCTGTGATAAACTTCACTTGACCACAATATATTAAATTAAGTTCCTTTTTTATTAATTGTTGGACTTATTTGCTAACATTTTAAGAATTTTTGTGTCTGTCTTCATAAGGTATGTTGGTGTATAGTTTTTTTTTCCTTGTAATACTTCTGTCTGATGTAGGTCTCAGGGTCTGCTGGCCTCGTGACATGACCTGGAGCGTGTTCCCCCCTCTGCAGTGGGCTGGGAGAGCTGTGGTAGCTGGTTAGCGTCTTGCCTCCAGATTTGCTTGTGGCTGGAGGTTTATATATTGTATTGATCTTTTCATAGAACCAGTTTTTGATTCCATTTATTTTTATCTTTTTAAATTTTTATTTTATTAATTTCTGATCTTATTTTCTTCCACTTGCCTTGGATTTTATTTGCACTTTTTCAGATTTTTCTTAGAGTGGATTCTGAGTCTCGCTAGTTGAAGACCTTTCCTCCTTTCCAGGAGGTCTTTAGTGCTACAAACTGTCCTCTAAGTAGTGCTTCAGTTACACCCCATGTATATTTGGTGTTTTATAAGTTCTTTATGAATTAGGATATTATTCCCTTATAAGATGTATCAGTGAATATATTCTCCCATTCAGTGGGTTTTTTTTAATTTTGTTGATCTCTTTTACTGTGCAAAGTCTGTTTAGCTTGATGTAGTTTTATTTGTTTATTGTTTTCTTTGGTCTCCCCTGCCTGAAGAGATATGTCAGAAAAATACTGCAATAAGCAGTGTCTGAGATTTTACTGCCTATGTTTTTTTCTAGGATTTTTATGGTTTTTTGGTCAGACATTTAAGTGTTTAATCCATTTTGGATTTATTTTTGTTCATGTCATAGGAAGGTGGTCTAGTTTCATTTTTTTGCACATATTTGTCCAATCTTCTCAGCACCTTTTATTGAATAAACTATCTATTGAATAACTTGCTTCCTCTGTCAAATATCAATTGACTATAACGGCGTGGCTTTATTTCTGGGCTACTTGGTTCCATTGATCTGTGTGTCTGTTTTTATGCCAGTACCATGCTGTCTTGATTGCTGTGGCCTTACAGTTTGATATTACATAGCGTGACTTCTCCAACTTTGTTTTTCTTTCTCAAGGTCACTGTTACTATTTGGGGCCTTTTGTGGTTCCATGTAAATTTTTTAAATATTTGGTCTAGTTCTGTGAAATAAGTCATTGGTATCCTGATTGAATATAATTTCTATCTATGGATGGCTTTGGGTAGTGTGGGCATTTTAATAATGTGTTCTTCCTATGAACACAGTATATGCTCCCACTTATTTGAATCTTCTTCAGTTTCTTTCCTCCGTGTCTTATAGTTTTCTGAGCACAGGTCTTTTACATCCTTGATTAGGTTATTCCTAGGTATTTTATTCATTTTGAAGCAATGTTAAATGGGATTATTTTCTTCATTTCCTTTTCCATTACATCATATAAAAATGCAACTGATTTCTGGATATTAATTTTGTGTCCTGCTACTTTGCTGAATTCACTTATCAGTTCTAGTAGTTTCTTAGTGGAATCTTTGGGGTTCTCTCTGTACAGCATCATGTCATCTGCAAATAAAGACAGTTTTACTTCTTCCTTTCCAATTTGGATGCCTTTTATTCTTCTTCTTGTCTGATTGGTGTGGCTAGGACTTCCAGGACTTTGTTGAATAAGAAAGGTGAAAGCAGGCATCCTTGTTTTGTTCCTGATCTTAAAGGGAACAGTTACAGGTTTTTTGCCTGTTGGGTGTTGTAAATAAAGCTGCAATGAATAGAGGGGCTCATACATTCTTTTGAATTAGTGTTATGGGTTTCTTTAGATATATATCTAGATTTAGAACTGCTGGGTCCTAAGGCAGTTCCATTTTTAATTTTTTGAGGAAAGTTCATACTGTGTTGCACAGGGGCTGCACCAGTCCACATTCCCACCAGCAGTGCTTGAGGGCCCCCCTTTCTCCACATCCTCACTAATGCTTGTAGTTTGTTGATCTATTGATGATGGCCTTTCTGACAGTGTGAGGTGATAACTCATTGTGGTTTTAACTTCATTTCTCTGATGATTAGTGACGTTGAGTATCTTTTCATGAGTCTGTTGGCCATCTGTATGTCCTGTCTAGAAAAGTTTCTTTTCATGTCCTCTGCCCGTTTTTAATTGGATTTTTTGTGTGTTCTTAATAAATTTTAAATATCACCCCCTTATCCTTTTAAATTATGAAATCTATTTTATGTGGTATAAGTAATACTACACCTGCTGTCTCTGGATGCCATTCACTTGAAACATCATCTTCCACCCCTCACTTCGAGCCTGTGTTTGGAGCTGAGATGACTCTCCTGTAGGCAACATCCAGTCGAGTCTTATTTTTTAATCCGTCCTGTTACTCTGTGCCTGTCCATTGGTGAGTTCAGTCGATTTGCACTGGGTGATTACTGACACATGAGGATTAACTGCAGCCATTTTTACCTTCTGTTTCCTGATTGCTCTGTGTCTCTGTGGCTTCTTTTCCCTTGTGATTCTGCTATTTTAGTTTGGCAGTTTTGTATGATTTGTTTCTGTTCTCTTTTTTTGATGTTATGTGTCAGTTCTGTATTTTTGTCCTGTGATTACCATTAGGTTTGTGTGAAATGCCTCACACACAATAGACTTGTTTCATCTCATTACCTCTTTGCTTTTATCATATGTAAATATTCAGTCCTTTTTCTCATTCCCTTTTTTATTTTGTTGTCACAAATTATCTCTTTATATTTGTGCGTTAATTACAAAGTTACAGGGGTTGTAGTTATCTTTAATTCCTCTTCTCTTCTCAAACCTTTGTTATAACTGTTTAATACACTATTCTAAAAAAGATTTATAGTTTTCTGCTTCTGTCTGTAAGTCGTCTTAGTCAAAGCTTTGTGTACGCTTGTCTTTGTTTCCAGTGAAATAGCTCCTTTTAACAGTTCTTGTAATGCTGGCCTCTTGGTGGTAAATGCTCTTGGTTTTTAGTTGTCTGAAAAAGCCTTTATCCACAGGTGAGGAGAAAACCTTCTCCTTCACATCTAAAGGATACTTTTGCTGGGTATATTATCCTTGCCTGATGGTGC